TCGGGAGTTTTGGGAAGTTGGAATGACGTGTAAACAATTCGGGCGTTCTGCTCTCCCAAAATTCCATTCGATGGGCGGGGGAGCGACTGAATTTTGCGTTGCATTATGGGTAACACTTGCCTTCGCAACTTCCGGTTCTCTCTGCCCGGCGCATTTTCTCTAAATGGTTGAGTGTTTTCGTCATTTTCTGTATGCAAATACATTCCCGTCTCTAACTAGTGGCATATCGCGCAAATCATCCGTCCAATTCACATTCTTCCCTCTTAGCTGAACTTCATTCTCATTGTTACCATCTGTCACTCGCACACACAGCCGTTTTCGTTCACTCTGCTCGCTGTCATCTTCTTCTAAATCTTCATAAACACCATCCGCTCGTTGAACTAGCAACAACAATTCCTCCTTTCGTTTTCCCACACTGCAAATACCCTTTCGCTTCAACCTTTCACGCAATTCAGGCACTGTCAATCGTTTGTTGTTTTCGTGAGCCATATTCGCCATTGTATGAAATCAACCGGAAGTGAACTGGGCAACAAACGGTGTCATTTTTTGATCACAGCGCCGCTCAGTGGATGAAATTTTGGGAGAGCAGAACGCCCGAATTGATTTTGTACGACTAAAATGTTGAAAGAATCTAAACAAAATTCATCTGTGTCTGTTTAGCCCTGTTTCCACCAGCCCTGCCCTGAGTGGAAGATTTCATTATGAGAAACTTTTGCCACGTTTTATAAAGTTCACCTCTGGACCACAGTAGGAGACAGTGGCTCGATTGGTAGAGCAAGAGCCTGAATGTTGTGGGTTCGAGTCCAACACAAGACCTTCTCCACCGACTCTCACCGATGTCTGCTGTCGTTGTGTCCTTGGGCAAGACTCTTAACCCCACTTACTACTTTCACTAATTCTACTCCTGCCACTACCACTACCACAACTACTACTTCTACTTCTACTACTCCATATAACCATTGTTTCATTCTAACCCCACTTTTCCTCGACCAGATTGACCACCACCCCCTCCACCTCCACCACCCCCTCCCCCTCCACCTCCACCTTCTCCTCTTTGAAATCCCCTCAAACCCTCCTTCTGTGACTCACAAAACTATTGAACTCACCCCAATCTCCTAAAGTTTTGTCCCCTTCCGTCAGTCACACTCAGTTAGTCCTCGGCGTGGGGCCAGTCTTCCTCCGTCAATAACCTGCAGATGGACTCTCCGCCGCTGAAAAGACCCGGATCAATACACACACATCTGCATTATATAACTGTAAAAAAAACACACAACTTGGATCTTTTTTTCATTTTTGCATCTGAAAGAGCGTCAATAGGGGTCACTTCAGCAGGTGTTACTTCGACGACGTCCACAAGTAGGATTAGAAGTGTTTAGGCTTAAAAGGCCAGACAAAAACTCCAATATAATCATTTTAATGTCAGTTTAGCTGCGTCTTGGTGTGAAGAGGTGTTAGAGGAGGATCATGGGAGGATGAAGTAGCAGCAGCAATTTGCAATTTTTGTCACGGAAATGTGGGAAAGAAGCGAGAGAAAGGGTGAGGTAGAAAAGCAGACCGGACCCTGTGTGTGTGTGTGTGTGTGTGTGTGTGTGTGTGTGTATGTATATACTGGAGATGTCTTGCACAGTTATTCCAATGTGGTTTTACTGCAAATGGCAAATACATTCTTGAATCTTGAGTCTAGTGTGTGTGTCTAATATCCTGGGGTGTTGTATATTACTGTATGTACTGGTGCCAACTGCATGGGAAATCCAGATTGCGTCAGACCTCTGAGGCTGAGCAGGGCAGGGCCTGGTTAGTACTGTGATGGGAGACCTCTTGGAAACACCAGGTGCCTCAGTGGGGCCTCTGCATCCACATTAGAAAGAGTCTGGCGTGTGAATTATCTCAGTTGTATAATTTATTTTCTACAACTGTACTAAAGTAAATCTGTGACATGTTTGTGCCATATGAACCAACTCGGACTCTGAGGAGCACAGGGACTGGCCTCCTGCTAAGACTCTGAGGAGCACAGGGACTGGCCTCCTGCTAAGACTCTGAGGAGCACAGGGACTGGCCTCCTGCTGAGACTCTGAGGAGCACAGGGACTGGCCTCCTGCTGAGACTCTGAGGAGCACAGGGACTGGCCTCCTGCTGAGACTCTGAGGAGCACAGGGACTGGCCTCCTGCTGAGACTCTGAGGAGCACAGGGACTGGCCTCCTGCTGAGACTCTGAGGAGCACAGGGACTGGCCTCCTGCTGAGACTCTGAGGAGCACAGGGACTGGCCTCCTGCTGGGACACGGAGGAGCACAGGGACTGGCCTCCTCCTGGTGCCCGGAGTCAGGACTAAAAACATGGGGTTTTAGCTGCATTTCAGATTTATGCAGCTAAAAACAAAAATACAAATCTGCTAAGAATAAAAATCAAGTTAATCACTGCTGGGACATGAGTCTTGCTGCTGTCAAAATATCCACAAATTCCTTCACAGATTTGAATTCATACATTTTCAGAGGGCAAAGTCACATAGTCCAGCATAACCATCGTCTCCATCTTATAGAGCAGTAGTGGTCACAGATGTGAGAGAATGCTAAAGGCTAATGCTAATGTGACAATGAGTGTGGGAGGATGCACAAGGCAGCACCAGGCCTGGACACGGAGGAGGAATATGTTACTCTCAGCTGTCACTCAAACACCTCCCCAAGGCCTCAACTGGTGTCTGCGCCCGAGTCTGCAAACACGGCCCATGGTCTCATCGCTCTTTCAGTGTTTTTACGCCAGAACTTATGACTTCTGCTCAAAATTACCCGCCAGAGAAGATTCAAAGTAGAAGAAAAATACCTAAATTAGGGTCTGGATGAGTTAGGGATGGTCAAGATAGGAGTTATAATCAGAATTCAGCTCAAAAATGTTTTATTTAGGGTACTTTTGAATCACTGGCAGGTAAATTTGACCCAAGGAAAGCACAAGGACTAAGACTTTTCACTTTACAATAGTATTAAATAGATCTGTTTGCGGCACTCAAAGGCAGTGGTAGTAAACTTGTAATAATAATAATAATCGGTCCAAGAAAACGCTGATTTTATACAGCGTTTTTTGGGCACTCACATACTGCACATGTTATTACTCCATCTCTCCAACCAGTCTGTGACGTCGGTCTCACCCATCACCGACAACCATTCACACGCACACCAGAATCTTTCTAGGTAATCTGACTTGGCACTTTATAGCCGCAGCCGCCAGCACTGGTGTTCCCAGAGGTCTCCCATCATAGTACTAACCAGGCCCTGCCATGCTTAGCTTCACAGGTCTAACAGGATCTGGCTTTCACCTGCAGATTAACTCACTGGCAGTGGAGAGTTTCCTTAAATCATGTCTCCAAATCCTGTAGAAAGAGTTATTTTCTATGTATTTCAGACCAAACTGAGACCAGAAAAACCGTTTAAACTGGAGTCGGTTCTGAGCTAAAATGCAGCTCGATTGGACCAGGATTCACAGCACAGCTCCATTAGCGCTAAACATGGAATCTTGTGACACAATCAAAAACAATAGTCGGTAAAAAAACTAGAAAATAAAATATGAGGTCATAAATAGGACAAAGCAAAATGATGAAGAAATGTCTCGTGTTGGAATGAGGAAATAAAGCATTGTCCCATTGGAGAATATTGTTTTTAACACATTTAGATAAAAACCACTTGATTCAGACAGGGCTGGACCAGGACTGGACCAGGTTAGAACCAGGACTGGGTCAGATCTGAACCAGGATGGAACCACAGCTGGTCCCGGACTAGAACAGAACCGAGCAGGACCGGAACAAGACTGAACGTGGACTAAGAATAACTTTGGACTGGGCGGGACCAGGACTGAACCAGGACCAAATCAGGACAGAACCAGGACTAAACCAGGACAGAACCAGGCCTGAGCCATGGTCAAACCAGGACAGAACCAGGCCTGAGCCATGGCCAAACCAGGACAGAACCAGCACTAAACCAGCACTAAAACAGGACTGAACCAGGACTAAACCAAGACTGAACCACAACTGATCCAGGCCTGAACCAGCACTAAACCAGGACAGAACCAGCACTAAACCAGGATTGAACCAGGACTGAACCAAGACTGAACCACAACTGATCCAGGCCTGAACCAGCACTAAGGGACAGAACCAGCACTAAACCAGGTCTGAAATAGAACTGAACCAGGACAGAACCAAGACTGAACCAGGACAGAACCATTACTAAAACAGCCCTGAACCAGCACTGAACCAGGATTGAACCAGGACTGAACCAAGACTGAACCACAACTGATCCAGGCCTGAACCAGCACTAAACCAGGACAGAACCAGCACTAAACCAGGTCTGAAATAGAACTGAACCAGGACAGAACCAAGACTGAACCAGGATAGAACCATTACTAAAACAGCCCTGAACCAGCACTGAACCAGGACCGAACCAGGACTGAACTAGGACTGAACCAGGCCAGAGCCAGCACTAAACCAGGATTGAACCAGCACTGAACCAGACCAGCACTGAGCCAGGCCTGAGCACGCTCCCACGCTGCTGTGATGTCGTTCTATTGTGAAGGCGTGGGGCCAGATTGGGAGACACGGGGGAGGAGGAGGCGCATTTCCATGTCATTACCATAGCATGTGTCCGGCGGTATATAACGGCACAGAGGCACGCGCACAGCCCACAGAAACACACCAACACGACACGGGAAGCATGTGGGACAACTGAAGAGAAACACCTCCACCACCGTCCACGCTCCCTCCCATACGGATTTCTCCAGTGGATTAACTTTTTGGAACTACTTTTGGGAATTACTTTTTTTTTTCGTCTACGCGTATGTGTGTGCGTGCGCGCTCATTTGGGACTCAATGAATGAAAGAGGCAGACGCGCGCTCCCGATGCATCCACAACAGCAGGACTGAAGCAGAGGAGGCCCCCAAGCTCTTCACCTATTTATTTTTTATTTATTTCATATTTATTGACTATGGGGAAAGCTATTCTGCTGACTCTCGCCGTGATGTCTCTGCTACTTTGCCAGGTAAGACGCGCGGTGCCATAGACTAGACTTTTACGCACGAGAAAAAGTCACGGGAAAGGATTGGTTGTTGTTGTTTTACTGGTGTTTTCCTGTCATTTAAGTACATTTACGTTGTGTTGTGCTTGCTTCAACACACGCACTTGTTTACCCATGCCTAGTCCTGGTCAAACAAGCATCCTTCACTCACGCTAAAAACAGTCTCTTAACTTTCTTCCTCAGGGCTGGTGTTCGGGAGTCTTTGAGCTGAAGTTGCAAGAGTTTTTGAACAAGAAGGGCATACAGGGAAACAAAAACTGCTGTAAGGGAGGTCTGACGTCGTCTTTCCAGCAGCAGTGCGAGTGCAAAACATTTTTCCGCATCTGTCTCAAGCACTACCAACCCAACGCGTCGCCGGACCCCCCCTGCACGTACGGAGGAGCGGTGACGCCAGTGCTGGGCTCCAACTCCTTCCAGGTCCCAGACGCGATCCCCGAGAGCTCGTTTACCAACCCGGTCCGGATGAATTTTGGCTTCACGTGGCCGGTAAGTGACGTGAACTGACGTAAAAGTGCGTGAAAGGCAAGTTTAACCCGTGCGTAAAAACAACAGGCGTGAATTGAAATGGCGCCTTTTTGTCTCTTGTTAAAAACGCGGTGTTTAGTTTCATTGGGAGAGAAAGAGAGTGAAAGAGAGTGAAAGAGAGAGAGAGAGCTACAGTCGCCTCCGGGTCCTTTTCTTGCCTGATGTTATCACCGCATCACGCTGGCCACCTGTCTCACCAAGCCATTTGTTTCCCCAGGGGACCTTCTCGCTGATCATCGAGGCATTGCACACGGACTCCAAAGACGACCTCTCCACAGGTAACGCCACGCGCAGGGCACACGCACGCGCACGCTCCCCTTTTCCCATGCCTCCTTTTGTCTCTCATTGGGGATTCAGTGTGTGTGTGTGTGTGCGTGTGTGAGTCTTGGGCTCATATGTTGTTGTGTTGTACGGGGGAAAACCCTAGAGAGATCTATGAATGGAGACGTAGACTGGGTTGAAATGGGATGCCATAGAAGCGTATGGAAGTATTACCTTAAGAAAACATACTAGTAGTTTCTATGGGATCTTAATGACTGATAAAAATGTATAGAAATGATGAGAGAAGACAGGTGTTATTCCCCAGAAAATTGAGAAAATATTTGGACTGTCATATCTGTAATTAGCCCTATATTACTCACTTCTTCCCATAAAAATCAATTCCATTCACTTTTTAACTCACATAATTCACGTCATATCTGTTGCAGAGAACCCAGACCGCATCATCAGCACCATGACCACGCAGCGGCACCTAACCGTGGGTGACGAGTGGTCCCAGGACCTCCACAGCGGCGGGAGGACCGAGCTCAAATACTCCTACAGATTCGTATGCGACGAGCACTACTACGGCGAGGGATGCTCCGTCTTCTGCCGACCCCGGGACGACGCCTTCGGACACTTCACCTGCGGAGAGAGGGGAGAGATCGTGTGCGACTCCGGCTGGAAAGGACAATACTGCACTGAACGTGAGTAGAAAGCGAAAAAAAAGAGCCAAAGTTGTGTGTGGTGTGTTTTTATCGATTGAACTGCGGCAAAAATCAGGGTTGAAAAGTTGTAAATTGGTTGTTTTTTGGTTGGAGGCAGCATAAGGAGATTAGACAGAGATTAGTTGATGGATTTCAAAAGTTGTAGGATGCTCAGTTTGTGTTGAAGAAAGTGGGGAGGAAGCTAGGGAAAGTTGTGCGTATAGAAAATACCATAAAACTGGGTCACTGTCCAGAACTACACAAATCTCGATCTTTTAGGTAATTGAGACAAAAACACAGCCTGTAAGCATTAACAGGGGATGTGTCGGAGGTGTTTTGAGTCTGTAACTATCAACACACAACTTTATTCATTTATAGTGAATGAGTTTGTGCGACAAAAACACACAAAAACCCAGCTCAAATATCAAACATCGCATTGAGAAAACCCAGTGGCTTCGCTCGGTTTGTTTTTCCCCGTTTTTCCTTCGCTATCCAAAGTGCAACTCAGCTTGACTAATGAGTGAGTGCCGTTGGAAAGGGCGAAGACAACTTGTGCGTAAACAGGCCCCTAACTCCCCCCCCCCTCTCTCCCCCTATCTCCCCCCATCCTCCTCCTTCCCCCTCCTCCTCCTCCTTCTCTCTCCCACACACGACCACTTGATTTATTCTAAGGAAAGTTTTTTGGGGGAATAATCTCACGCGTGCCATAAATTTACATGCGCGCCCGGGATTGGCCGGCGCGGCGGTGGGCTTGGCTTTTGATTGGTCGAGGTGGGGCGTGTATTGTTTGAAGTAGGCAGCTGCCGGCAGAGTGCAGACAATGGAGCAGCTGTCCCACACAGGCAATACACTCGCCACCTGTCCACTCTTATCTGCCCAATCCGAGACATTAAGGGGTAGCGCGCAAAAGAAAAAGAAGGGAGGAGGGCGGGTTTTGGGGGGGGTTGGAATAAAAGAGTTTTGACCCTGGAGCAAAAGAAGAAGGGGAGGAGAGAAAAAAAAGAAAAAGAAAGGAGTTTGGTGGAGGTTGGGGTCTATTGGGGGCTCGCATTCACACACTATTGCCTTTGTTCTGGCTCTATGTTAAGCTCAAATTCTTCCACGGTGATAAGGAGATAAGCAAGAGGTAGCATCCACCGGGCGGGCGACAATGGGCCGGGGCCATTGTAATTGGCAACTTTGAATTTAGTTGAAAAAGTTTTAGCATTGAGTGGGGACGTGTATGGGGATGACGGACATGTTTTGGGGTGAATTGTGTCGGAGCAGGTTGAATGAACGACGGGGGAAGAGCCATAGGTTTTGTTCATGTGATTTGGGGTTAGCATAGCACCTCAGGCTTTAGCTTAAGTGGAAAAATATTTGTTTTTAGGACATCGGAGAGAGACTGAAACAACATTAGTGCTTAGAAAAGATGCAGTCAAATATCTATGAGGATGAATATACACATGTTTGAAGCCTGGCCGTCTATCGTGAGATCAATCCCTGCTTCTCACACCTAAAAGTTGACATTTTTCGCGTTTATTTTTCAGCAATCTGTCTCCCTGGCTGCGATGATGAACATGGATTTTGCGAGAAGCCGGGCGAGTGCAAGTAAGTGCCCTGTTTATCCCCACTTGTAGATTTAAAGGAGCAGTATGTAAAAATCTGGCTAAAAGTGGTACTGCACTCTCCCTGACTCAGGTTGCCAGATATGCAGACGAATCCAGCTGGGACCATAATATCCGAGTTTTGTCAACAACAAATCTATAACCAATAACTTTTTCACAAAGATAGAAAGCCTGGTTTTATTCCTTGTTTTGTCGTGAATGATTTAAGAATCATAACGAGACCTTTTTTAGTTCTGCTCCACATGGTACTTTACCAGTGAGATTAGCTCGACGCAGTGAGTTCTGGCGCCCGGATCACAGACTTTCTGATTGGTGAAACGGTGGAGGGCGGGACATCGAAATGAAAACAATAACAAGATTTAGAGGCTTTAAAACTAATTTTGAAATCCAAATATCTCTGAACGACTGTTATCAGTTAAAGAAGTATTGGAAAAGAACATGTTTTATGAATGTCTTTTGACAGATTAGGGCCCTTTCATGAGGACTTGACATGAAAATCTTGCATATTGCTACTTTAATAGGATTTTTTTTGTAGTGTAATGTAGCGCAACTATATGGACCAAACTCACCTGTTTTTCACTCGATCACAGGTGCAGAGTGGGATTCAAGGGCCGATATTGCGACGAGTGCATCCGCTATCCGGGCTGCCTCCACGGGACCTGCCAACAGCCCTGGCAATGCAACTGTCAGGAGGGATGGGGCGGACTCTTCTGCAACCAAGGTACGTCTGAGAGTGATAATAAGTTATAACATTGAATAGTTTACACGCAAAAACAGTAAAGGGCCATTGGAAACATCTGGGAAAAGCTTACAATTTTCTCTTTACCGAGTAGTTTTGTGAAAAGCCATATCTATTTTAGTGCCATACAAAATTCTTTCAAGTTTACTGCCGACAACGGAACATCTTGAAGGTTGTAACTTGAGGAATACAATATTTGGACAAGATGGAGATATCTGTTTTTGCATATGAACTCTTCAAATACACAGTCGTGATTGAGGCTGGAGGCAAGAAAGACGGCATAGAAGTGGCTAGTTCTTTGTCAAAAAACATGACTGAGGATGATTTAGCGCCTTTTACACCTGGGACTCTACAGGTTTAGTGATGGTTGACTTTATCTGGATCAAAAAGTCATAAATGGTGCGGATTGAAACTAGCAAACAGCTGCTTATTGGTTCTGCAGTCACAAACGCCACCAATGCAAGCCTTTTGGAAGTCATTTCAGAGTACGTTTTTTGCAGAAGTGGTGGCTCCCAAAGTATTATGTAATTATCAATAGACGAGAGGCTATTCTGAACGGCTAGAAAGATTCAGACTACTTTAGTTGATCCCACCACGGGAAATTCACACACACATTAACAAAAATACAAAATACATACAAGCTACAATGAGTCACGCAGGCTAATAGCAAAAAATAGATTTTAAGTGACTGTTGGTTTTACAATCTGGTGGAAGTGATAGATACATACAGAGATAGATAGCTCTTTGCATACATAGACTGACAGACAGACAGAGATAAATATTTACATGGATACATAGACAAAGACAGACAGATAGATACATAGATAGATATATACATACATAGACAGACAGATAGACAGAGAGACAGACAGACAGATATTTACATAGATACATACATAGACAGACAGACAGACAGAGAGACAGAGAGATGGATATATACACAGATACATACATAGACAGACAGACCGACAGACAGACAGAGAGATAGACATCCATTGGAGTGGAAAGAGTGACAATACAGAAACTCTATGTGCATCAAAACAACCAAAAAGCTGAGCCCAAACTCCGTCACTGAGGCCTTTAAACTGGCTGGTGGGTGGCAACATGATGGTATTTTGGACCTGAGGAGACAGACATAAAAAGCAACAACAGCAGCAGCAGCAACAGCAGTCAGGGTGGGAGGGAGGGGAGGGGGGAGGGAGGGATGAGGGCACAAAACAGCAGTTGTTTGGGGGGGGGGATTGAGGAGAGGCTTGGACAGCAGGCCAGCGGCGGCTCAAGCAGTAACAAAAAACCACTGGAGAGGGCCACAAGTGTTGGCGGGACAAAAGGACTTACTGTCGCCAGATCTAATCCACATGTGTTGCTCACTGGCTTTTTTTTTTCTTTCTTTTTTTCCCCCTCTCGTCTCCCACTCACACAGATCTCAACTACTGCACTCATCACAAACCCTGCATGAATGGAGCCACTTGTAGCAACACGGGCCAGGGCAGCTACACCTGTTCCTGCCGCCCGGGATTCACTGGAGCCAGCTGCGAAACGCAAGTCAACGAGTGCGCCGGGAACCCGTGTCGCAACGGAGGAAGCTGCGCGGTAAGAACGACAACATAAGAAAAATAACAAACTTGTCCTACATGTGGCCTATCCTCCAGTAAGCCACATGTAGGATGTAGCTGCAGTAATAGCTTGTTGTGTGGTGTAGTCGTAGTAATATTAGTAATAGTTTTATACGGAGATTTTTTGGACACTCAAAGATGCTACATAAATCATTATTGACATTATTATTGACTTCATACACGTTGGTGATAAACTACTAGAGAGTGGATTATGTGGAGTGGTGGCTATATTTGTTGGGTTCTGTCTCTCTGTCTGTCTTTCCCTGTCTCCCTCTGTCTCTCCCTGTCTATCTCTGTCTATCTGTCTCCATCTGTCTCCCTCTATCTCCCGCTGTCTCCCTTTATCTATGTGTCTCCCTCTATCTCTGCATGTCCCTCTCTGTCTCCCGCTGTCTCCCTCTGTCTCCCGCTGTCTCCCTTTATCTATGTGTCTCCCTCTATCTCTCCATGTCTCTCTCTGTCTCCCTTTATCTATGTGTCTCCCTCTCCGTCTCTCTCCGTCTCTCTCCGTCTCTCTCAGTCTCCCTCTGCCTGTCTGTCTCTGTCTCCCTCTGCCTCTCTCTCTGTCTCTCTCTCTGTCTCTCTCTGTCTCTCTCTGTCTCTCTCTGTCTCTCTCTGCCTCTCTCTGCCTCTCTCTGTCTCCCTCTGCCTCTCTCTCTCGGTCTCTCTCTCTGTCTCTCTGTCTCTACCTCTCTCTGTCTCTCTCTGTCTCTCTCTGCCTCTCTCTGTCTCCCTCTGTCTCCCTCTGCCTGTCTCCCTCTGCCTCTCTCTCTCGGTCTCTCTCTCTGTCTCTCTCTCTGTCTCTACCTCTCTCTGTCTCCCTCTGCCTCTCTCTGTCTCTCTGTCTCTCTCTCTGTCTCGCTCTCTGTCTCTCTGTCTCTACCTCTCTCTGTCTCTCTGTCTCTACCTCTCTCTGTCTCTCTCTCTGTCTCTCTCTGTCTCTCTCTGCCTCTCTCTGTCTCTCTCTGTCTCCCTCTGTCTCCCTCTGCCTGTCTCCCTCTGCCTCTCTCTCTCGGTCTCTCTCTCTGTCTCTCTCTCTGTCTCTACCTCTCTCTGTCTCCCTCTGCCTCTCTCTGTCTCTCTGTCTCTCTCACTGTCTCGCTCTCTGTCTCTCTCTCTGTCTCTCTCTCTCTGTCTCTCTCTGTCTCTCTCTCTCTGTCTCTCTCTGTCTCTCTCTGTCTCCCTCTGCCTCTCTCTCTCGGTCTCTCTCTCTGTCTCTCTCTCTGTCTCTACCTCTCTCTGTCTCCCTCTGCCTCTCTCTGTCTCTCTGTCTCTGTCTCGCTCTCTGTCTCTCTCTCTCTGTCTCTCTCTCTCTGTCTCTCTCTGTCTCTCTCTGTCTCCCTCTGCCTCTCTCTCTCGGTCTCTCTCTCTGTCTCTACCTCTCTCTGTCTCTCTCTGTCTCCCTCTGCCTCTCTCTCTCTGTGCCTCTATATCTCTCTCTCTGTCTCTCTCTCTGTCTCTGTCTCTCTCTCTATGGTCTATGTAGTAATAACAATAATAATAATAATAATAATAATGCATTGGTTTTATAAAGTGTTTTAGTGTTTATACTGTATTCTTCATGTGTTTTAACTGTTGATTCTCTGACCTGTGTTGGTGATTTCAATGGTTTTGTTAAGTCCTCTGAGATGACTTCTGTTGTGACCTAGGGCTATACAAGAATAAATTGTATTGTATTGTATTAGCACATACAGGGTTATTGCGTATATCATTAGTCATTGACTCCAAACACGGTGGTGACAAACTACTACTGTAGCCACAGCTGCCCTGGGGCCCACTGACAGAAGCGAGGCCACCAGTTCATGCCATCGGCCCCTCCCACCATCATTATGTACATTAGATCTTGGGCCACATGATTTCAAAGATCATTTACATTTTAAAATAACAAAAAACTAAATTGTGCATAGTAAGCATTTTTGTGCTGGATATTAAAGAGGTTTAGGCTGAAGTCAAGATTAGTCAAAGAGTTCCACCTTACCACCTTTACTGCACTGCTAAAAGTCTATTGTGTCTTCTTAGTCTTGTATATTGTAGTAATTTTAAGACATTTTATTCAGACTTTTTTTCTGATGCATTCCTTTTCCTTTTTACTCGTGCATCGCCTACATTTTTTTTTTTTTTATAACTTGTCTGCACCTTGAACCATGAATATTTTATTTATTTATTTCATATAATTTTTATTTTTTTTTCATTTAAATTATTGTATTTTTTATTGTATTTATTTTATTATTATTTTATTTATTTTCATTCACTTCACTGTGTATCCCACCACACTTTCCTTCTTGGGACAATAAAGTTATGAATATAATCTGATCTTTCTCCCTCTTTCTCGACAGGACATGGAGAACACATACAAGTGCACCTGCCCACACGGTTTCTACGGCAACAACTGTGAGCTGAGCGCCATGACCTGCGCCGACGGCCCCTGCTCCAACGGGGGGCGCTGCAGCGACAACCCCGACGGAGGATACTTCTGTCAGTGTCCCAGCGGCTACGCGGGCTTCACCTGCGAGAAGAAGATCGACCACTGCACCTCCAGCCCCTGCTCCAACGGTGAGACGCACAACAGACGCACAACCAATAATAGACACACAACCAACAACCGACACTATTGTCTTGTACACACTGGGATGTATTCCAATGTGGTTTTACTGCAATTGGCAAATAAATGCATCGGAATCTAAATCAATCACAACAGACACAGAACCAACAACAGTCACACAACCACAACAGACACACAACTACACACACATGAGAGAGTTTGACCACAGCACCTCCAGCCCCAACTCCAACGGTGAGACGCACAACAGATACACAACCAACAACAAAACACACAACCAACAACAGACACACAACAGAAGCCATATTATCACAATCAATCACAACAGACACACAAGACAACAACAGACACTCAATCACAACAGACACACAGCACAACAACAGACACACAACAACAGACACTCAATCACGACAGACACACAACAACAGACACACAACTACACACACAAATGAGAGAGTTTGACCACAGCACCTCCAGCCCCTACTCCAACGGTGAGACGCACAACAGACACACAACCAACAACAAACACACAACCAACAACAGACACACAACACAACAACAGAAGCCATATTATCACAATCAATCACAACAGACACACAACACAACAACAGACACTCAACGACAACAGACACACAACACAACAACAGACACTCAATCACAACAGACACACAACACAACAACAGACACTCAATCACAACAGACACATAACACAACAACAGACACTCAATCACAGCAGACACACAACACAGCAACAGACACTCAATCACAACAGACACACAACACAACAACAGACACTCAATCACAACAGACACACAACACAACAACAGACACTCAATCACAACAGATACACAACACAACAACAGACACTCAATCACAACAGACACATAACAAAACAACAGACACTCAATCACAACAGACACACAACACAACAACAGACACTCAATCACGACAGACACACAACACAACAACAGACACTCAATCACAACAGACACACAACACAACAACAGACACTCAATCACGACAGACACACAACACAACAACAGACACTCAATCACGACAGACACACAACACAACAGCAGACACTCAATCACGACAGACACACAACACAACAACAGACACTCAATCACGACAGACACACAACAAAACAACAGACACTCAATCACGACAGACACACAACACAACAACAGACACTCAATCACGACAGACACACAACACAACAACAGACACTCAATCACGACAGACACACAACACAACAGCAGACACTCAATCACGACAGACACACAACAAAACAACAGACACTCAATCACGACAGACACACAACACAACAACAGACACTCAATCACGACAGACACACAACACAACAACAGACACTCAATCACGACAGACACACAACACAACAGCAGACACTCAATCACAACAGACACACAACACAACAACAGACACTCAATCACGACAGACACACAACACAACAGCAGACACTCAATCACGACAGACACACAACACAACAACAGACACTCAATCACGACAGACACACAACACAACAGCAGACACTCAATCACGACAGACACACAACAAAACAACAGACACTCAATCACGACAGACACACTACACAACAACAGACACTCAATCACGACAGACACACAACACAACAACAGACACTCAATCACGACAGACACACAACACAACAGCAGACACTCAATCACAACAGACACACAACACAACAACAGACACTCAATCACGACAGACACACAACACAACAACAGACACACAACACAACAACAGACACTCAATCACAACAGACACACAACACAACAACAGACACTCAATCACAACAGACACACAACACAACAACAGACACTCAATCACAACAGACACACAACACAACAGACACACAATCACAACAGACGCTCAATCCCACACATGAGAGTTTGAGAGCAATCCCTGCTCCTCAGTAAACAGGAAGTAACACTAAAGCCACAGGAAGTAACACATTTCAAAATAAAACAGGAAATGAACCTGAACCATGACAATTACAGCAGAACAGAAGAAAAATACATCATGATCTTGTTTCCTTTGAGGATCTCTGTCTCATGGATGGTGTTGTTGTTGTTGTTGTCGTCAGGCGCCCGCTGCGTGGACTTGGTGAACTCCTACATCTGCCAGTGTCCCGAAGGCTTCTCTGGGATGAACTGCGACCACACGGGAGACGAGTGCGCCCTGTTCCCGTGTCAGAACGGCGGCACCTGTCAGGAGGGCGCCGACGGCTACAGCTGCACCTGCCCGCCTGGATACACGGGCCAGAACTGCAGCTCCCCCATCAGCCGCTGCGAACACAACCCCTGCCACAACGGCGCCACCTGCCACGAGCGAAACAACCGCTACGTGTGCGCCTGCGCTCCGGGCTACGGCGGCCGCAACTGCCAGTTTCTGCTTCCCGAACACGCGGCGGTGCGCGGGTCAGACGTGCCCTGGATGGCGGTGGGATCCGGGGTCGCTCTGGTGCTGCTGCTGCTAGCCGGATGCGCGGTGCTAGTCGGGTTTTACCGCTCCAAGGCCCAGCGCGGCGGCCCCATCGAAGTCACGGGGGAGATCGAACCCATCAACAACTTAAACTTGACAAATAACTGTCACCGTAGCGACCGCGACCTGCCCGTGAGCGTCATGCCGGGGCCAGGCGTGAAAAACATCAACAAGAAGATGGACTACACCAGCGAGGACCCGGAGGAGGGCTTCTCCCCGGGACGCAGCGGCTACAAGAGCCGGCCCCTCACCGGAGACTACAACCTCCAGGAGCTGCACTACGACCAAAGCAACAAAGACGCCATGTTGGAGGCCGCGTGCGACGACAAGTGCCAGTCGCTCGACTCGTTTGAGTTTGAAGAGAAGCCGAGCAAAAGGTTAAAAAGGTAAAAAAAAGAAAAAACCTCTTTACGTTATGTGTTTTCTCTGTGGTGTCATGACGACGCTCATCTATTTCATACTTGCTTCTTCATTTATATTTAAATTGGGGTTTTTTCACTACTTACTTTGTTATTATGATACAGCCATAGATTTTTTGCTTATTTCTTGCTTCTTCATTATGCTAAAGTTGCTCCTTATTATGCTAACGCTAGAGATTTGATACTGCTTCTTTATTATGCTAAAAATAGACAAATAAAAGTATGTCTTAATCTTAATTTTCATGTATCTCTATCTTTTGCTCAACAGCGACGCTTCAGAAAAGAGAGCCCCAGAACTGTCTGCATGTGCGGACACCAAGTACAAATCTGTGTTTGTCATGTCGGAGGAGAAAGACGAATGTATAATAGCAACAGAGGTGAGTAGAGTCCACAGTCACAGACATCAGTGCTTTGGGCCTAGCCTGGGTCCTAGTCTGGGTCCTAGTCTGGGTCTCCTTGTCTGTGTCCTTTACAGTCTGTCTTCTAGTCTGTGTCCTAGTCTAGGTCCTAGTCTGGGTCCTAGTCTGGGTCTCCTGGTTTGTGTCCTTGTCTGTGTCCTTTACAGTCTGTCTTCTAGTCTGTATCCTAGTCTAGGTCCTAGTCTGTGTCCTTTACAGCCTGTCTTCTAGCCTGTGTCCTAGTTTGTGTCCTAGTCTAGGTCCTAGTCTAGGTCCTAGTCTGTGTCCTAGTCTGTATCCTAGTCTAGGTCCTAGTCTGTGCCCTTGTCTGTGTCCTAGTCTAGGTCCTAGTCTGTGTCCTAGTCTAGGTCCTAGTCTGTGTCCTAGTCTGTGTCCTAGTCTGTGTCCTAGTCTGTGTCCTAGTCTGTGTCCTAGTCTGTATCCTAGTCTGTGTCCTAGTCTGTGTCCTAGTCTAGATCCTAGTCTGTGTCCTAGTCTGTGTCCTAGTCTGTGTCCTAGTCTGTGTCCTAGTCTGTGTCCTAGTCTGTGTCCTAGTCTGTGTCCTAGACTGGGTCCAAGTCTATGTCCTAGTCAGGATCCTAGTCTGTGTCCTAGTCTGTGTCCTAGTCTGTGTCCTAGTCTGTGTCCTAGTCTGTCTCTTAGTCTGTGTCCTAGTCTGTGTCCTAGTCTGTCTCTTAGTCTGTGTCCTAGTCTGTGTCCTAGTCTGTCTCTTAGTCTGTGTCCTAGTCTGTGTCCTAGTCTGTCTCTTAGTCTGTGTCCTAGTCTGTGTCCTAGTCTGTCTCTTAGTCTGTCTCTTAGTCTGTCTCTTAGTCTGTGTCCTAGTCTGTGTCCTAGTCTGTCTCTTAGTCTGTCTCTTAGTCTGTGTCCTAAAGTGTGTTTTCCACCGCCTCGACTCGACTCTCCCATGTTAGCTTTAGCCGCTTCCTGTTATTTTTTAGTAATGGCTTGTCCCTGATTCTCGCTAAACTCCAGCGAGCGCTCGATGGTCTCGCCCAAAACCAGAAAGTGTTTGCGGAGGTAAAAGTGACTACCGTGAAATCAAAGATAACAACAGCAAAACTGGGTCGAACCGAAAAGATTGGAGGTGGTTTGATCAAGTGGATGCTAATCACGGTCATCGGCTAACACCAGCTAGCACAGGCTAACACCAGCTAGCACAGGCCAACACCAGCTAGCACCAGGAGACATGGAAGCCTCGACTCTGCTTTGTCCCAAATACGCAGGAGCGACAAAAACCCTCTCAAATCGAGTTGAGTCGAGTAGAGACAGTGGAAACGGCGCTCTAGTCTTTGTCCTAGTCCGTGTCCTATTCTCTAACTCACCTGGTCTGTATTTCTAGTCTCTAACTCACCTGGTGTGTATGCTAACTTGCCCCTTGTGTCCGCAGGTATAAGAGCCGTAATGGCCGCCCGTTGCACATTGCTCTATGGAGAGTTTTACCTCCTTCAGATGCTGCTGAACCCGGGGGGACGTCCCGCCTTGAGACTGCTGCTGATAGTTTACTGATATTCAGATGAGCTGGTTCTCTACAGGAGGCTGTGGGAGGAGGACTGGGCTAATATTATGGTCATAGAACCACTAGCTTTCACTGCCTTTTCGGGAAAGGGGTAAACAATGTAATGGACTCATGCTCCAGTTTCTGCAACATTTGCACCCAGGCCCTTTCTGCCCTTTGTGCCCTTTCTGCCCACAGCTGCGCGCTGCACCCATGGATGTTTGGCCATAGTGGCCTGTTTGTACTGATCACTGTGTAACTGAAGTGTCTCCAAACCCATGACATAGTATTGTTCTTTTCTCTTCTTTTGGACATGAAATCTTGTCTTAATTACATATGTTTTTGATACACATTGCCCTTTTGTAAAATACTGAAAAAACAAGAAAAAAGATTTAAAGTTATGATTTAATTTAAGTTAATTTAATTATTTGTGTTGTTTTATTTGATATTGTATATTTGTGATGTTTGTTGTCATTATTTAAGTTGCTTTTTATTTTAATTAAGATATTTGCAAAGGCACTTCAGGTCAATGGGACTTTTGAATAAAATGTTATTTAAATGGGATTGTATTGTACAAAATGTTATGTCACTGTGTCCTTTACCATTTGTTGAATGAAGGAATTAGCCAAGACTATTTTTCCAAATAAATATTGATAAATGTGACGTTGTGATGCTTTGAGTTTGGACCAAGCTCCTGTTCTAAAGAAATGTACCACACCCTTTACTATAGAAGAACCCACACTGCAAAAAATGATACAGTATGAGGTCATAAATGCTTGAACTGAGTTGATTAAATGCCATTAAGTCTTATTTCATATTTATGTCTTTCTTTATATTCTCATTCCAAGGGAGACTTTTGTGGTATCTTTTTAAAACCAGATAATTTTGCTTTGTCCCTTTGTTAAATCTTGTTTTAAGGCAGTCACAAAATGCACAATTCCCACCAGCAAAAGTAGAATATCCAAATAACCCCGAGTTACACAACACAAAATCAATCCACTTTAATTAAATATCACATTTCATAAACAAGCAGTGTCCAAAGTGCTGCACAACAAGCAAAAAATGGCAACAAATAAATAAATACACACATATATAAAAATCAGATTAAAAAACCACAATACTCATGCGGCGTTAAAAGCCAGAGAATAAAAGGAAGCTGTTTTGACGGCATATAAACAAGAGAAACACAGATACTGGACCATTGTCAACAACATGAACAAAATACTACAAAAACATGTTATAATGAAAAAAGGCTGAATGTGTCTGACATTTATTCTGCTTAACCCCATTTCCCAAAATCAAGTTGCACAAGAATATATTAACAAAAAAAACAAAAAACAAAAAAAAATACTAGAAAAAGAGTGGGAAGAAGATAAAAACCCACCATCTTCAAAAGATACTCCACTTTTTGCAGTGTTTGAGAAATCCAGGACAGAATATAAACTTAAAGTCTGTTTCTTCTCGGACACAAACCTCCCTCTCTCCTTCACACGCGCTTCACTTCGTCTTAAAACTCTAAAATCGCTGCAGACAAGTCCATTGAGGCCGTGGTCTCCCCAGCGACACATCCATCTGAGTGTGAGGGCCCCGTGAATTACCTGACTTTCTCTGGGGCCGCGGCGGTGGTGGGAGGGGGGCATTGTTGTGGGCTGAATGGGGCCTGTGCGTCTCCACGGCGACACTCGGAGCTTGTGGTAGAAAAACTCACCGAGGGGTCCGTCCGGCAACACAACAGATGTTCTCCATTAATTCTGTTCACACACAGGAGTACACACGGAGGTACACACAATACACACAGGGGTACACACAAGAGTACACACAGGAGTGCACACAGGGGTACACACAAGAGTACACACAGGGGTACACACAGGAGTACACACAGGAGTACACACAGGGGTACACACAGGAGTACACACAGGAGTACACACAGGAATAAACACAGGAGTACACACAGGGGTACACACAGGGGTACACACAGGAGTACACACAGGGGTACACACAGGAGTACACACAGGGGTACACACAGGAGTACACACAGGGGTACACACAGGAGTACACACAGGAATAAACACAGGAGTACACACAGGGGTACACACAGGAGTACACACAGGGGTACACACAGGAGTACACACAGGAGTACACACAGGAGGACATACAATACACACAGGGGTACACACAGGAGTACACACAGGAGTACACACAGGAGGACATACAATACACACAGGGGTACACACAGGAGTACACACAGGAGGACATACAATACACACAGGAGGACATACAATACACACAGGAGTACACACAGGAGGACATACAATACACACAGGGGTACACACAGGAGTACACACAGGGGTACACACAGGAGTACATACAAGAGTACACACAGGGGTACATACAAGAGTACACACAGGGGTACATACAAGAGTACACACAGGAGTACATACAAGAGTACACACAAACGCACACAAAGGAGTCCACATAGACGCACACATACCTCCTCCAACTCCAGTACTCAGCAATCCCACCCAGCATGTGTTTTTAAGTGTGTGTGTGACTTTGTGTTGCGTTTTCTGTGTAAAAAGCACTTTATAAATTACATTTGATTATTTCACATCCAGGAGCCGCAGGATGAAAAGACCTGTTTTTTATGTTTAAATGTGGTCTGTTCATTGCTATTCACCTGTTGTCCCTCGGGCTGGTCCATGAATGCACTGGTGGGACTTGAAACCCTGGACCTGAGGACTGGTCCCCACTCTGCTGGTGCCGGTTCTGTGACGCCTGTCGAGATGCAGAGGTCTGGGAAACTTAAAGCAAGCAAAAAACTTTTCTCTAATAAGATTATGAAGTATTATAATCTTCAAACTAGTAAAATATTCTTAGGACAAACTACATTCAAGCAATAAAAACTTGTCATTAAAGAATAAGCATAATTTATGATATGTTTAGTAAATTAATCTTACATAGATGTTACTTTTTTTCAGTGTACCAATAACATTATACCAGTGTTTTTCAACCTGTGGGCCGTGGGCCGTTGCTGTGCCTTGAAAATGAGTACATATCACCTGCTTAGCTAGCCTGGCCTTATCCATCTGTACACTCCACTCAATCATCATTTCCTGCATGTAACGTCTGGGTCTAGTCCTGTGTTAGCGATTACAATCGGTTGAATTCCATTCGACCAATCAGCGAGCGCGGGAGGCGGGTGTTGTAGTTAGTTGTGGGTGACGTCAAGAGTTTGCGTCGAATGGGCAGGTTGTAGTTTGGTAATGGCAAAGAATGCGATAGTAAAGTAGCCCGGTCTGGTTCTATCAAGAAATTGAAGCCGGAGGAAGAGGAATGTTTAGCAAATGTAATCTCTGGAAAGATTGTGGCGCTACTCCCCACGGGCTCCGTTAGCGGCAAAGGAGATGGCTAAAGCTAGGCTAAATGCTAAATGCTAACGACTCACTCGGGCGCCTTACAAACGGCACGGTAAACTTAGATCCAATCGTTTCAATCTGCAAAAGGAGTTAGTATGAAATGTAATCTGTACTATGGTGTGGTACGACCAGGCTACTGCTTTAGTCAAAATCATGAGAAAATACAATATATGAGATGATTAGAACGTTTTTTGCGCACTTGTTTATTTGCTTTAAAATAAACATTGATGAGAATGTCGTTTCTTTGTTAATAAAGGCTGTAGAGATTCAATTTTGACAGCTGCCCTTTAAAGCCAGGGTCTGTAACTTTGTATGGACTGAAATAAAAAGGTGGGACGTGGAGAAGAGTCGCCGCTGAAGCTAAAGGAGCAGCAGTGACACACAAAGGTGCTACGAGACAAAGGGCGTCCCTCCCTCGGCATGCTGGGTAATGCAGGCTCAGGGCAACAGATGTGTCCGAGCAGATGCCTCCGACACACTCAAGCTGTTTATGCTGGAAACACCAGAGAGCAGAGACCAGAACGAGACTGAGACAGGACTGAGAGGGGAATGAGAGGGGGCCGTGAGGGGGCCGTGAGGAGACTGTAAGGAGACTAGGAGGAGGTGACCAGTGAGGAGACTATGAAGAGACTATGAGGAGACTATGAGGAGACTATAAGGAGACCTGTGAGGAGACCTGTAAGGTGACCAGTGAGGAGACTATGAGGAGACCAGTGAGGAGACGATGAAGAGACCATTGAGGAGACTATGTGGAGACTATGAAGAGACTATCAGGAGACCAGTGAGGAGACTATGAAGAGACCAGTGAGGAGACCTGTGAGGAGACCTGTGAGGAGACTATAAGGAGACCAGTGAGGAGACTATGAAGAGACCAGTGAGGAGACTATGAGGAGACCAGTGAGGAGAATATGAGGAGACTATGAGGAGACCAGTGAGGAGAATATGAGGAGACTATGAAGAGACCAGTGAGGAGACCAGTGAGGAGACTATGAAGAGACCAGTGAGGAGACTATGAGGAGACCAGTGAGGAGACTATGAGGAGACCAGTGAGGAGACCAAGAGGAGACCATGAGGAGACCATGAGGAGACCTGTGAGGAGACCAGTGAGGAGACCTGTGAGGAGACCAGTGAGGAGACTATGAAGAGACCAGTGAGGAGACTATGAGGAGACCAGTGAGGAGACTATGAAGAGACTATGAAGAGTCCAGTGAGGAGACCAAGAGGAGACTGAGTAGACCAATGAGGAGACTATGAAGAGACCAGTGAGGAGACTATGAGACCAGTGAGGAGACCAAGAGGAGACCATGAGGAGACCTGTGAGGAGACCAGTGAGGAGACTATGACGAGACCAGTGAGGAGACTATGAAGAGACCAGTGAGGAGACTATGAGGAGACCAGTGAGGAGACTATGAAGAGACTATGAAGAGTCCAGTGAGGAGACCAAGAGGAGACTATGAGGAGACCAATGAGGAGACTATGAAG